CATCGATCAGTCGGACAGCCCTTTTCTGAATAGCATTGAGCATGGATAATGTAATATAGACGCGGCGGCAGCACCCCAAACATGCGAGCAGTATTAGGACCTTATAATAACGGATAATGTCGGAACTTAGCTTCATTCACCATATAGTTCTTGTCAAAATAAGCGCATTTTCCTTAGAACACCTTATACACCATCAAAGCCTTAAGATCACCCAAATACCCGTATTAGGTACAGAAAAAATCTGCGCTCTAAAGCCGGACCTGTCTTTAGCGTGCGACAGATGAATTAAGTGACATAACGTGCGTCAATATTCAACCCAGGCGTCGTGCTATTTTTTTTACAAAGCAAATCGAAAAAGATGAAATAAAGCAAACACTTGTGATACGATGTTACTTTACGGTGACTGTTTACAAGATATTACTTAGGCTTCGCGAATGTGTTCAGATCGTTTTCCGAGAAGTTTTTCAGCGTCGCGTTTATTTATTTCTCTCGTAGAGTTCGGTACACAGGCCGTAGACAGAAACGCCGAGGTGGAAACAGTGGTAGGCCTAGATGCAGACAAGCCTGAATCCTGCAAACGTCGAATACAAACGTGTTTTTGGAATCGAACGGCGACGACTTCAAAGAGTATGTTCGTAAACATAGACAGGAGTGTATTTGATATTTACTAGCAAATGTACAGTGAGGTACTACCGCAATTTTAGGTATTTTACAATGATAGTTCATCTACCACGATGAGTCTACGGATCTTGATGTCCATCGACAGTTTTAATTACCATGACATGAATCGAACTCATTTAGAATAGATTGTGCTGTGTACAAGTATTATTCATTAACAGTTTTGTATTGTTCGCAGGTAACTTCGTGTTAAGTTTCCATCTTATCTGCCTAAACCGAGGATTGTAAGTATCTCTGCTACTATTATAGCTACGAAAGTGTATATGCATGTTTGTATGTATGTTTCGTTTTCACGCCAAAACGGGTGAACCGATTTTGATGTGCTTTAGTATAGGTAGATATTAGACCTTGGAGACAGGCAGGCGAAAATAAAACTTAAAGGGGTTGAAATAAAAAGCAAAAGTTACTTTGATGAAACTATTAATCTTTAGGTTAGGGTTACAACCGAGTTCTTCATATTTGTTTTTTTTTTAGTATAATGTAAGTGCGGACTTATGCAAGCATTTTGGATATTCCACCTCTGAGGACATGAAGTGGAGGTTAACAAATTTGACGATTTTGTTGGGAATCTGGAATGTGTAACATTAAGGCTAGCCTAGAGGTACGAGTATAATTTTATCTTTAAAGTAAATAACATCAACAAGATAACTACAGATCTTGTATCCTTGACTTTGGCAAGAAGTGGTGGAATATTTCGTTGGGAAAAGAGTATTACTTTTCAAGGTATGTTTATACAAAATCATCTTTCTGTCCTTAGGCTTTCCCACGGAACTTATTTGTGGCGTCATCTCAAAAGTAATCTATATATTGTCTTATATCCTATATGTGTGCAGAATTTCATCTTAACAAACATACTCAAATATACAAACACAATCTCATCCAAAGAAAAGTAAACAAAAAATATTCTATGCTGAATTAGACTACAGATATCTTCCATATCTTCTGTCATTGTTAACTATTTACATTTTGGTCTAATGGCGAATAAACTAATAAAACAAGTACATTCAAAAAATACAAACTGACTGCGGTAACTGAAATGAATGAAGATTCGATTATGGTATCAAGACGAATCTAAGGACACCTCAAATATCAAAATCCTGCAGGTCATTTGGACCCGTGAAATAGAGAATCCAAAGCTTGTTTTTACTTTTTTTTCATAAAATTTTAGTATAACCAATGTGGCTTGTACTGCAAGAGCAAATCTAGAGACACATCAAATGACTCATACTGAATATTTTTCTTAAAATCCGCTATTTTGGCTACAACCATTTTAATATACCCACTGTCACTCACACTATCCAGATTAATCTAACAATACCTCATATGTGAAAATCCATTTAGCAGATTGGTCTGTAGCCCATGAAATGAAATTTTTTGTCCATATACCCACGCGTGAAGAACAAAAGCTTTCTTCTAAGACAACCAAATGTTCTAAGCAGCAAGTTGCCTGTCAATTTACGAGTGCCCTGAAAGTTGCAAAATGATATCCAAGATATAGCATTTCTTAAAAACAATATCTTATGTTAGCAACGAAGTATATATATAATATTTAATACTAATATCAAACTCGTTCGTTATGGATACAGAAGGTCAATTAGCTGTTGGTTTACATGTACAAAACATGAAATAATTCATTAGGTTCAGTCGATCTGTACGTTCGAATTCAGATTTAATCACAAATCACCACATCCGCTGTGCCTATTTCCAAAGCTCAATTTGTAAACGGTCTGCACCGCAATTTTCTCTTTGTCCATGGTAATTCAAAAAACCTCCAGTAAAATGTCGTCGTCCTATCGCATCTGAAATTTAATGGAGCAAACTAAAGAACAGTAACCCCAATGCGTTCAATTTAACGCAACATTAAACTGGCACAATTACTAATTTCCAACACATAAAAAAACAATGTGGCACCTCGTTTTTCCGCAATCTTCTTCGGCGCAGCCCCTTTTCACCCCTTTTGGAAAACCGTAACTGCTCCACCCAGTACCCTGCTCCTTTTACAGGGTCGGATCCAGTCATTAACAAAAAATAACAGCTGAAGCGCAGAGCAGACTGTCGAAAGAATGGTTGATATTGAGTCAAGAGGACGACACTGACAAGCGCCACCTACAAATGTTTCGCCAAAGCTTGATACATATACTCTGAAAATGACAGAAAGGTCCCTACGCCTCTGGCTTATCCTGACAGACAGTTACTATTCCTAAATTATAATAATAGCAATAAAAATTATAATATGTATTCACTCAATATATAAAAAAATGAGTTAATAAATGTAAAAGAAAAACAGGTCCAGTTGAAGGCACTGTCTGTGCACGGGCCAATCATTTCAAGCTGTAACTGTAGGATACAAATTATAAAAAAATGGGCAACAATTAGTCACAGTGGATTATGGATTTACTTTTTTATATTTATCAGTTTATGAATGTCAGTCCTATATATAGATTGTAGCTATTTTTCCAAATTTCTCTTAACATAATTTCCGAAATATAAGGGCCGGTTGTTCAACTCCAGTTTAAACCGCGGCTCAGATTGAACTAAGTTCAAAGTTGAAAATTAGTTGTAGAAATCAAGCTCAAGGCCAGTTCAAGTAGGCATAGAACCTGACGGGCCGATTTCCCTCGGTTAAACTCACTTCAATGTGAGTAACATAAATGTCGTAGCAAAGTTTAGCGAAGGAGTTGTGTGTTGATTTCAAAAAAGGATCTTCCCGGAGAGATAACTGATGACGAGGACTTCTTAGAATTAATTAACATCGTATATATACCCAGGTTACCCAAAACTTACAAACAGAGACCTGATAATTTTCGGATTTGGAACCACACTCAATTCTTACAACGTTTTCGGTTATCAAAAGATACTGTTAGATTCATAATAGGTAAAGTTGCAGATGATATCAGAAATAGAATAATACAGTAAGTTTATTCATAATTACTAGGTATCAGAGCCATTCCTGGCAGATGCATATTGCGCCCCAACTTCAGAACCCAGAAAAAAGACAATGAATTAGATAAATTGAAGAATAAATATAACTACCTATTTCAAATTTCAGTAGATATATTGTTAAATATAATTTTTTATACGTTTATACATACACCAACTTATGAGAATGCTGTGTTGAATCTAAATTGAAAAATCGTTCTTTCATTGTCGGTGAATTTGCAAAAACCATCTCAGCTGCTCAAAGGGTACTCACACGACAGGAATGGCCCTGGGTTGATAAAATGCGGGTGGAATTTGGACAAAAGTGTATAAAAGCTATTTTTATAGAAATCATGCCCCCACGCCAGATGATATGGACTTTGTTACGCTACATTACCTTGCAACTGGGTCTTTTTGCAAGTAATAGGCATGGACAAAGGAACTGTAAGAAGGGTTGTGGCAAAAGTTATAAAATCATTAGCAGTCCATTTTAAAGAATTGATAAAAATGCCTGAAAATGGCGAAGAGCGAACTGTGATACGTCAAGAATTTTTTAATATTTCTGGATTTCCTAGGTGCAAAATAAAATCTCCAGCTGGTGCAGACCCAGAGAACTATAGGAACAGGAAAGATTTATTTTCCTATAATGTACAGGTGATTTGCGATGCCACTTTGAAAATACAAAATATAGTTTGCCGCTGGCCAGGTGCATCACATGATGCAAATATATTTGCAAATAGTAGAGTTCGAGCCTTATTTGAAACCGGACATTTTGGCGACAGTTTGTTGGTTGTAGATAGTGGTTATAGTATTAAGCCATACTTTAATCACACCACTAAGCCGACCTGAAACTCAGAGTCAACATTTATTTAATGAGTCTCAAATTCGCACTAGGAATCCTGTCGGGAGATGCTTGGTATGGAAACGACGTTTCCCCATCTTAGCATTAGGAATTCGTGTAGCGAAAGAAAAACTTGAGCCAGCAGTTATTGCAACAGCAACCTTGCATAACTTAGCAATTATCATGAAAGACCCACAACCTGCAATCAATAATGAAATTGAAGCAGCAGTTGAATTCATTAACAACTTGGATATTGTACCAGTCCCAGTTTGGACGTCCAGCTGCATCTAATAATAGAACACGATTATTGTTGAATAGTTATTTCCAGGATTTATTGTGAATGATTCAAAAATCAGTTTTTAGTATTTTTCTAATGTTATCTTCGTTTCATACTAAGTGAAAGTGAAAGATATAAATGATACAATAAAAAATATTGGAGATTTTATGTACTTATTTGTTCAAAATAGGTAAATAAGATGGCAGATTAAGAAAAACAAATTTTATATTTATTTATGAGATACTGTTTTTCTATAATTAACATTTCCATTTTAATCTTATGTACCTCATCTTCCCTCTTTTTTCTCTCTTCATACTCTAGTTGCATTATTTCCAGTTTTTTTTTGTTTTCTTTTATCAATAGCTGTTTTTTCATTTCAAATTGATCCAAAAGACATTTTCCCTTAGAATCTTCCAAAGATTTTTTTGATGTGACTCATTTTTCCATTTGTGTGCAAATAGCAACCCTTTTTTTCAGGAGTCGGTCTTCACTGAAATTAAAATGTATAAGGAAGGAACATCTTATTGTGATCCACATTTAATAGCAACAGGTAGATAGTATTTTATTACTAATTTCATCAACAAGAACAGAAAAAAATTTACAGCACAATATGCAAAAACTTTCCATTTAAGTACTAGACGTAACAGTTCCTTTTTGAAATGTAAATAAATCAAAATGAATGCTATTAAATAAATCATGCAGTAATGAATATGAAATATTTCTGGAGATTATAATGTAGATTACCTTCTGCAGTTCTCAGAGCACTTGATTTTGGTGTGCGCAAAAGGGATGTACTTAATTTGATCCAGTCCCTCATTTGGCTACTGGCTTCTGGACCTTCTAAAATTTAGAAATCTAAATGATGAGCTCTTTGATTTTCTTTATCTGTAAAATCATGAATAAATGAGGATGCATCACAATAAGGCATATCTATTGTGTGTACTTACTAGCAACAGGTCGTATTTTATTACTAATTCAATCAACAAGAACAAAAAAAACTACAGCATAATATGAAAAACTTTACATTTAAGTAATAAAATAGGTTTTTTTAATTTCCATAATTCAAAATAAATGCCGTTATAATAATCATGCTGTTATGACGATATAATAGTTCTGGAGATTTTGATGTAGATTACTTTCTGGAGTTCTCAGAGCACTTGATTTTAGTGCGCACAAAGGGGATGTATTTAGCTTGCTCCCATCCTCCGCCTGATGAATACTGGCTTCTGGACCTTCTAAATCAGATACTATTTGATTTTCTTTATCTGGAAAATCATAAATAAATGATAACATCAAAACTATTTATTTTATTAGTACCACTTCTTTGAACTTCCTGCATCTCTTCTGAAGTGATTTCATCTGAAATATCTTGAATTAATAAAAGTACATGATTTAACATACATTCGAAACTTACAGTCCTCAATAATTATGTCTCGGCATGTACCATTTTCAGGTATGCACAGACAACTAAAAACAAAATTAACTTAAAAATATATTCACACAATACAATGCAGATTCCTAGCTCATGTCATCATCATACGCTGAAACTCTTCTATTCGGACACCTAAAATGTCTTTGACTTGTTCATCAATATCGGTGAAATGAATTGTTTTTGAGGCACCTCCTCCCGTAGCAAACAGGGAACACTTCTACCGTGAGAACTTCTTCTTTGACCTTTTCTTTATATTGTCATATTTATTCTTCAATGTTTTACTATCTCGGTATGTCACCCCTCCACTGTTAAACTGTTACTGCATCCGTTTCACGACATTCAATCTTTATACAGTTTAACCGGCCCTAAATTTTATAAATCTTTTGGTATAATTTCATAAACCGTTAGCGCTAAATATAGATATGTTGCATTACACAAATATATTTATGTGGCCGAGGAACTTCCCGTGCCACGAATTTCGTACTTTGTATAATGATTGCTTAATTTTTTGGTCGGTGTTGACAAATATATGGTAGTGAGTGATGATGTGTCAGAAATAAAGCTGTCATATCATAAATTTGTGGAATACAGTTTTTTTAGAATAATAACTATTCCCCGTATTCGGCTTGTCGACTTCTGGGACTCCCTATATAGTAAATAGGGAAGCAGGTGTGAAAAATTTTCATAAATGGCGCTAATATATCTCATTTTATTTTAGATCATGTTTTGGACGCCGATACATATTGATTCTGTGACTGTGTTGGACAAGCGTTATAGTTATGACAGTAACCTAACAATAGACAATATTAATGAATATTTCAAGACCAGCTGGAACATTGAATTCTTAGATAGTCACCAAAAAAGTGAAATCAAATAAAATGCGTACCAGAACAAATGAACAACGAAGATCTTAAGTAAGGCCTGAAGATAATCACCTGAAGGTATAGCACGTACACACACACTACACGCACTGAGAAGTTTTTTCCTACCCGTTTCTGGTCGATCTTCTTACATTCTGTATATCCTTTGTTTGGTCTATTAGAGCAATCGTTGTACGAGACATTTTGCTGGAAGACCTTCAACCGGTCCTGTATTGTTGTACTTTTCCGACATTCCCATCCAGCTGTAAAGCTGTTTTGACCTCGATGCCGCCTCTCCGATGCTACGGAAGCAGAGCAAAAAGACAAATCCTTTACCCATTAAGTCTAACACCCAGAAAATTGAGTTTAGTTTTTATGCTGGGGATTTTGCGTTTGCCACCATTATTACCGATATGAAGGTTGGGATTTCGACAGACTACAGTGGAACTTTCAGGACAAAGCTCTCCACATTGGCGGACTGGGGGAATGTCGATGGCCTATTACAATCGAATCTGCGATGAATGGTATTTGTCAGATTTGAATCCTGCTGAACTAATGGGGCTTATATGAGGTCGCTGAAGTTTTGAATATTTTATACCAATGTTCTGTTAACAGACAATTATATTATAGTACAGGAAAGTGGTGTGTCATCCAAAAAGTATACTAATTTCCCCATGGACAAGGTAAGTTCAAGTTCAAGTAAACATTTTTAAATGGAATCCCCATTTTTACATTGGAATTGGGAAGAGGAGCAAATTTCACGTCCTAACATCGCCTTGAGCGTGCTCTCGACCATTGCCTTGAAGGACATTGGGGAGAGGCGACGTTGCCAGATGGGCTATCGGCAGTCTATGGACTAATTGTTTAGGGATATTTCACTGACTTTATCCGTTTAACGTCCCTGTAATGAATGCTCGTAACTTACTAATGTATCTACCGGAAGAACAAGGAAAGAATATCTATGGACTTAGTATGTATGGCCTTTGACTGTTTTTTTTATTCATAATCCTTTATGAACTGATGATGATCTAGCCTGGTAAGTGCAGAGTCGACGTTTTTGACGATATTTTTTCAACTAATAACAGGCTGGAGGCAGTGCTGCATTGGAGTCTCACTTTGTTCCAATATCTCGATTATCGAAAACTTACTTATTTTTACAAGAGCTATATGCCGAATAAATAAAAGTTGCAACCTTATGCATATTTCCGGCAAAAGCTTTGTCTTTCATATTTTTGAAATTCCTTATTCAGGGAACGGTGCAAGGTGCAACATTATTATTATTGAGAAACTGTTCTATATTTTTTTCATACTCCAACTACTACAAAGGTCTAAGGCCTAAACACCCATGGGGTACCGTGGGGCTATATGGGGATACAGGGAAAAGGGGAGACGCCACACGGACTCTGGCGAAGGAACACGTGTACATGCGACACGCACACATTCTGGCCCCGCCTACGAGATTCGCCGGGTAGTACCTACACGTTCGACAGTTAGAGACCATCTACCACCTACGGCACACTCACAGCATCAATAGCCAAGAGAAAAATTTCTCTTGGAACGGGATTCTAACCTGCGCAGCACACGGTAACTGATCAGGGAAAAATCCTCTTGGGACGGGATTTGAACCCGCGCAGCAAACGGCGTCTGATCAGGAGACCGAAGAGTCTACCCTTGCGGCCACCGCTGCTGCCCCATCTATATGCCGTATAAATGAAAGTCAAAACTTTGAGATCAGGTTACGCAGCAGCGCTGTCAATGTCTCTGTACTGAACAAAATGTAAAGCATTTTTAGTAAACGTATAGCTATACCAAATCCTTTATTGAGAAACTGTTTTCTATCCCAGTGACAACTTTGGCACGGGTTTCAAGAGCAAATAAGATAAGAATAATGGCTGTATTCAGCGCGTATGGATTTTTCATCCTATGAAATATTCGCAAATCTCACCGCTTGACAAAATCTTTCGGGAACTTGTTAGTTCGCGGAAGGGGCGATATTTGTACCCGACACTTTTCCAACGGCATCCATTCACCAAGTCTGAATGAAGTTTTTCGTCTCCTCGTTCTTCTGGAACGCTGCCATTACGGCAGATCCCTGGATTCGGGTTCATTAAGTATACTCTAATGAAACCTCCGATGAATACAGAAATGGATCACTTGGATCGATTTTGACGACACGAATAGAGGACCACAGCACATAGAATTTTCTCTTCCACCGTATGTACTCTGAAATAACTTGAAATACTACTTAGTTTTACGAAACAAATAAAGGGACAATCCATGAATTTTCTGGTTTTGTTAGTGTGCATTTTTTTAATTTTGGCGTACGATGCGTGATACTACCGCCTTTTCATTTAGCAGGTGACTATGAAAATAATTGGAAATTCCAGATACATCTGTTGAAAACAAATTTGAATTTGACTGAAAGAATCAGACCTATATGTTTATAAGGCAGTATTCGTCGCCAAAATTACATAGATTTTACGCATACCCTTGTGTAGAAATGACAAACCAATACCTCACCGTACATTCTTGTGTATTAGCCAGCCGTTCTGGTTGTTCCACTATGGCAAAAGTACTATCTGTGCCGCGCTGTGAATTATTTCGTGAATTAATACTTATTAATTGTACATCATATGACTAATTCGAGCTTAGTTCGTAATTTGGGAGGGTTGAGTTACGTAAAGTTGTCTTCATCAATCATGAGCAATGGCGGAATTATCAAATATTGGAAGTAGTGGGGCATCTTGCTTGAACTCCCATCGGTTTTTATGAACAGTGTTTATGATCTGTGGGATCCAAACAGATTTTTAGCTAAAAGCAAGTACATAGTTAAACCTCATATGGCAATTTCTCTGTTACATCATTGTCATTATTTTACTCACTGACGATAAAACCAGTAAACACGACACTAAGGCCCGTATCGTCAGTCGTCCCTACAATTGTAGGGCGCCTCCTTGATTGTCATACTCTTTTCTCTCCTTCAAACATTTCTAGACTACACTCGTCCCGTGTCAGTGTCAGCTCTATCCTATTGTTGAGATATGTTTTCCTTTTAAATTGTCGGAAATTTCAGGCTGATAAAACATGATATAACTCAAAAGTGAGCACAATTTGATGCAAATAGATGTTTGTGACATAACCTCAAAATAGAGCTCGGACACGGAGAAGTAGAAAACTATGACAATCGAGGAGGCCTACAATTGTAGGGCGCGTTTATGGCCTCCTTGATTGTCATAGTTTTCTGCTTTTCCGTGTCAGAACTCTATTTTGAGGTTATATCACAAACATCTATTTGCATCAAATTGTGCTTGCTTTTGAGTTATATCATGTATTATCAGCCTGAAATGTCCTACAATTTAAAAAGAAAACATATCTTGACAATAGGAGAGCGCTGACGCTGACACGGGACAAGTGTAATCTAGAAATTTTTGAAGGAGAGAAATGAGTATGACAATCAAGGAGGCCATAAACGCGCCCTACAATAATTGTAGGAACGACTGACGATACGGGCCTAAGGACCTTTCCTGAGAGCTTTCAGTAGCCAAGACTCAAAATTATTGTTGGATTTTTTCCAGTATTTTTGGTAAATTCCGGCTTGTCTCCAGTATTTTTGCATTTTTCAGTGTTGTGTTAGGTTCAATAGTTGACTAGCAAACCTTAGATTGCGTTTGAGCACTCAAAAGACAAACTGAAATGAAAGATTGAAGACTCAAAGCTTCTTTTTTTGGCTATAAATATATATGGTGATAAGTGAACTAATATTTATTAACGGTACGGCATATGAACAATTCGAATTTAATTTGTAATTTGGGAATATTAAATTACGTAAAATTGTCTTCGTCAATCAGCAGCAATGGCATAAATGCTTAATAAATTGAATTCTTTCAACAGTCTAGAAAAAAAAAGGATTGGAAAAGAGTTGTAAGGTCTATTTTAAACTTTTCCGTGCAATGTCCCTGTAATATACGGGTGTCTCAGAAAAGCGCTACTAAATAAACTTGTATTTTTTAAATGAAATGCCCTTGCAGGTTTTAGTGAAAATGATAATCCCTTCTTTTTCAATTACAAATATATATGGTCGTTAAGCTTGTCTTCGTTACTTTGCTCAAAAACTTAAATTTTGTGTATCATTTATTCCTATGTATCAGTGTCAAACCAGTTTATATCTAGTTGCAAATCAAATCTCGTAGTCATATGATTAAATGACACAAAAAATTATTTTTTTGACAAAAACAAATCATATTGTATATTTTGAATCAGAAAAATATACAAGGTGTACGATTTAGAAAACAACTTTATCTTATAATACTTTTCTGGGACAAAACAGAGGCTGCATTGAAAACATTATATTAGATCCTATAGTTTTTCTGTATAGATTTAGTATAATTTTATGCAAAATGTAAACAACTATCAAACTGGCAACAATAGTATGCTCTTGCAATCGCAGACTTGCTACTTCTACCTAGTCCGATTTGATTGCTTTAAATGGCTGCTCGT